ACCAATGTGTGATGTGTCGGCCTCCCAGACTGTCGCCCAGGACTCAACCAACCGAGGCCCTGGGCTCAACAGCCTTTGCAGGAGTCTGCGGCTCATGATGCACTCCAACCAACTGGCGTGCGGCAACTGTCTGATACCCACTTTGTGAAATGCTGAATGAAGGTCTCTCGTGGATATTCTGGCCTGCCTTCACTTAGGGTGGGCACGAGGCTTGCTGGGGGCCTATGCCCAGAACATATGCATGTCGGCAAGGCCCCGTTGAGGGCTCAATCCTCACATATGGGTCTAGGCTACCAGCCGGGCCGCCCGGGTCCTGGGTGGCCAGCCCGTGCAAGGACCAGGGAAGGTCCCCAGAAAAAAAAAAAAAAAAATCAAAAAAATCCGAAAAAAAACTATGTTATGCCGAAAAATAAACTGAACAACTTTTGCCTCACGGTCACATCGAAGTTCTGCACCAAATTCAGAAAACAAAAATTAATTTTAATTTTATTTATTTATTTATTTATTTTTTAATTGTTTTTGGCCCGGCCGGGCAAGTGACCCCGGGCCACTCTGGTAGCCTAGTCTAAAACCCCTTTTTTTTTTTTTTNAAAAAAAAAAATCCACACAAAAAAACTATTTTATGCAGAAAAAATAAACTGAACAACTTTTGCCTCAGGGTCACATCGAAATTCTTCAGCAAATTCAAAATAAAAAATACAATTTAAAAAAATATATATTTTTTTTATTTTTTTTTATGTTTTTGGCCCGGCCGGGCAAGTGACCCCGGGCCACTCTGGTAGCCTAGATCTGGGTTGAATTGTGAGGTACCCGGCCTCAATTCCCGGCCTCAATGTTTGGATACTAAAAGACGCTGCATGGTTAAAAAAAAACTTCAAAAAAAAACTAAAAAAAAAATCAACGAAGGAAACATTCTGGAAAATGAGTTTAAATGACCCCCAGGGTGGAATCCAGAGGAGGAGGAGGAGACACAGCATGGTTAATTAAAAAAAATAAAAAAATAAAAAAAGAATGCATGACCACAAGGTGAGAAAGGGAAGCGGAATAGGATGATGAAAAAGACAGCGAAGAACTGGGAGGGGAGGCCATGTCTGGCCCCCTCCCAGTTATGGGACCGCGGGCGGTGGAGGGGGTGGCGGGGGTGGGGAAAGGCCGGCGGCAGGCCCAGCAAACATACCTGGCAAATCACTGACTTGCTTTGCTGGTGAGACAACAACTGGGACATGAAAAATCCAGAGAATGATGCCAAGACAAAGTCCTTTCTGTATCCCAGGAACAAAGAACAAAGGGACACACATACACATTATACAGAGCTGTTGTCTTCAGTAAAAAAAAAAAAAAGGAAGCTGTTGTCAGTACCAGGGCTGCTGGGTTACAAGGACTGTGCTGTGAAGCTTCAATGCTATTTTTTTTTCCTTTCTTTTTGGGGGGATCGTTTTCTCGATTAATGTGTGTCACTGTCATCCTTATCCAGGAGCCATGCTTAACCTTTCTCTGCATCGTTCCAATAGTTAACGGACGTTTTGAAAGACGAGAAGCTTCAATGCAACTTCTCATCGATGAAGTGGTGATCATCGCGTGTGCTGTACAAGAAGTGCCCATCATAACAGTCAAAAAAAAAAAAAGAAAAAAAAAAAGGGGGGGAAATAAAAAACAGTAAAAAAAAATGTTACAAGATCCAACGCCGATAACGAAAAAATTCAAAACAAAAAAAAAAAGTTAAAAAAAAACATAGGAGAGCCTCAGAGCCTCCAGAGTAATGAGCGTACGAATCACGCTCCCCTCTTCAACACCACTCCTTTCGTTCGTTTCCAGGGAGAGGAAGGGGGGGGGAAGGCGATGTCATTGAGTGTCCGGCCCCAGGTAGTTCAGACTAATTCTGTTCGATGAACTTCAATCACGATTTGAATTCAGGTCTTTGCTTTGCTTATCAACAGCTATACAGGTGTACCATTCCATTCCGCCGCATGGGCAAAGTTGTTCCCTCGCCTCCAACACACTATGTTCCCGACACAACTATGTCAAATGTTCTCTCTCTCTCTCTCTCGCTCTCTCTCTCTCTCTCTCTCTCTCTCTCTCTCTCTCTCTCTCTCTCTCTCTCTCTCTCTCTCTCTCTCTCTATCTATCTATCTA